AAGAAAAGGTCCAAACGTTTTTAGGAGCTCAGCCTCTGAGCCTGAATCTGGCCCTGGCCCTAGAAGCGTGTACCTGGCCACAAAACGGACAACAGTACACCCGTTAGAAAAACAGCAGCAAATAAATAAAATAAAGACTATAAAAATAATCTAAAGCTGGCGTTTTTCTGATGCAGGCCCAAGTAAAAATGCCATAGGGCCTTCAGGTTGCGGTGACGCGACCTGGGGGCCCTATTCCAACCTCGGGTCCCGTGAGGGGCCCGTGTGTAGGCTTTGAGCATGTAACAGCACACCTCTTCCTGCCCCCCATCTTTCCCACAAAAAAACAAACAAACAACGCCCGACGTCTGCCCCTCCTCCTCCCGTTCCTCCTCCTACTCTGCCCCTCCTCCTCCCTTCCCTCATTTTCTGCTCCTCCTCATCCTTTTCCTCCTACTCGTTTTGCTCCCGCTCCTCCTCCTCCCGTTCCTCCTCCTCCCACCCATCGTCTTCCCCCTCCTTGTCGCACTCCTTGTCCTACCTCTCCTCCTGTTTCTCATCTGCCTTCTCCCGCTCATCGTCTTGCCCCCCCGCCTTCTTGCATTCCTCCTCGTGACTCGTCGTACTCCCCCTCCTCCTCCTGCGCCTCCTCCTCCCCTCCTCCTCCTTCCCCTCCTTCTCCCCTCGTCATCCCACCCCTCCTCGTAGCGCTTGTCCTCCAGCCACTCTTCCTCCCATTCGTAGTCCACCTCCTCCCTCTCCTCGTCTTCCCCCTCCTCCTTGCACCCCTTCTCCTCCTGTTCGTCGTCATCCCCATCCTCCTCCGTCGTCATCCCACCCCTCCTCCCCCGGCTCGTTCTCCCGCACAAAATGGCATGAATCTTCCGCTGGAACATGGGCAGATACGGCACATTTTGTTGTCTTTCCTGCATGCCCCAAGTTTTGTGGTCGTCGTTCTCCCCGTCCGCCTCCTTCCCCTCATCCCGCTTCCCACTCCTCCTCCCATGCAAAATGAAGTGAAACTTCGGCTGGAACATGGAGAGATACACAGCCATATTTTTTTTGTCTTTGTCCGTCGTCCGTCCCATCCTCCTCCTCCTCCTCCTCCTTCCCCTCCTCCCGCCCCTCCTCCACGGCCATATTTTTACGGCGCTAGCCATCTTCTTCTCCTCCTTCCCCCCCGCTCATCTCGCGCTCTTCCTGTTCATCGCTCGTCATGCGCTCCTCCTGTCCGTGGCTCATCATGAACTACTCCTGTCTGTGTGTCATGCTCCCCGTCCTCCTCCTCCTTCCCCTCCTCCCGCTCGTCATCCCGCACCTCCTCCGACTCCTCCTTTTGCGCAAATTGGCATGAATAAGGGCATCGCCACACCACTGTCGAAACGTGCAAAATGAGAATGAACTTCTAGCTAGAACATGGCCAGATGCGCCCCCCACATTTTTGTCTTTTTCACATTTCGACAGTGGTGTGGCACGGCCCTAAGGGCCTAGTTGCACTACTCGCCATCCGTCACATTTCGTGGCGGATGCGTTACTCCCCACTACATTTCTTCTACATAAAAGTTAAAAATTTTTGTCTACCTGATGTCGACTTGTGAAGCCCTGCACTCTCCAGAAAGCTGTTTTGTGGAGAGGTCCGAGGACCACTCTCCACAAACCTCCGTGCACAAGCGGGGAAATCGAATTCACTCTCCACGACTTGTGTCGACCGTGTGGCGAGCCGTCTGACACATTTTGCATTCGTCAAGTCTGGCGAGTAAGGGCCTTGCCGCACCACAGTCGAAAGAAGAAAAAATTTGATGGCTGTCGGAAGAAATTCGACAGCCTCCATTCGACAGTTTGCCCCTCACTGAATTTCGAAGAGAAGTCGACGGCGCAGCCGAGGATTGTCGAAAGCATGGGAGTAGGAGCTGTCGAGAAGCATGCTCTGACAACTGGATAATTTTTTTCCCGTCTCCGACTTCAACAGCCTGTGTGGCGAAGAGAAACTGTCGAAAATTGCGGTGCGGTGAGGCCCTAAGTGCAACCAGGCGCCTACTCTCCAAACTTGGCGTATGGCGAGTAGTGCAACTAGGCCCTAAGGGCCTCCCCACACGACTGTCGAAAGGCAAATAAATTATCGACGGCTGTCAGAAGAAGTTGGACAGCCTCCATTCGACAGTTTCCCCCCCTTTAGCCACACAGCACTGTAGAGTGGACGCACTTGTGAAAGCACAATGGAAAAAGACGAATGCGGCTAAGGTACGACAAGCATCAGTCCATCCCGACGTACCCCCCCCCTCACCAAATTTCGAAGAGAAGTCGATGGCGCAGCCGAGGAGGACTGTCGAAAGCATCGGTGTAGCAGGAGGCTGGGTGGGGATTCAACGACTTTCTACAGACAGGAGGTGTCTGTAGAGAAGCATTCTCTGACAACTTAGGACCAGATCCCACTAGCCCCTATTGTTCATTTCTGACCGTTGATCTTCGTAATCGAGGGTGAAAAATGAATAATCCAGGGTAGTGGGATCTGACCCTTACTTGCGAATTTTCTCTTCCCGTCTCTGACTTCGACAACCTGTGCGCCTCGCCACACCACTCTCGAAATGTGAAAAAGACAAAAATGTGGCGGGCGCATCTGGCGATGTTCTAGCGCCAAGCTCATTCTCATTTTACAGATATCGAGAGTGGTGTGGCCATGCCCTGTGTGGCGAAGAGAAACTATCGAAAATCGCATTTTCCACAGTGGTGTGGCGAGGCCCTAAGGGCGAGATCCCACTGGCAAAAACGATTGGAAAGCGGATCCCCACACAGGCTGAAAGTCCGTGGTCGACAGTTTACCCCCCCTTAGCCACACCGGCTGTCGAGGGGCAAGGTTTTTGGTCATGGCCAGGCGGACGACGGTGACGGAACAGTCCCAGACAACACAAATTCGACCCTGACAACGCAAATTCGAACGCAATTTTCGAAAGGTTGGCGGGGCAGTGTCGAATTTCCGTCACCTGCAGGCGGGAGGAAACGGTTGCTCGAGGGCGGCTGTCAAAAGTAC